AATTGTGCATCCCTGGTTGTTTAGGAAGCAACACCTCCACACCATTCTCCACGCCAAAGCCGTGCACACAGGATCCACTGCAACATATTGGCACCCAAGCGCTACGGCTGCAAGCAGAGACACAGGTAAGTGAATCCCATTTTAGTTTACCATCCTGAAATGTTGTGTAGATCACTGTGACATGTACCCTTGGTGATAATTCTTTTTAAGGTGACCCAACGTCTTGCCAAAATAAACTATTTGCAAAGTACAGAAGTTTATTTAATTTAGTTTTGAAAAAAAAGCTAAAAACATTGTTTGGGAAAATGATATATACATTTAATGAGCAGATGCAAAAATACCTTCTCATTTTAGGTGTAAGTCGTATTTGTTATAATATAAGGGAACGTAAAATAGATACATCATTTAGATTGAAGACCATATTGCAGACAATGGAACATTTTGCATTCAATAGATTTTTAGATGTACCCAGTGTATAGAATGCCTTAGTATTCCTCATATTTGTTCAATTTTCCAGGACTCTTTTTGGAGCCCGTCTACCTTCTGTGGAATGACCACACCCCCCAGCTCTCCTGTCGGTCTAGTACCAGATTCCTCCTGGCCGACTTCCCGTCCTCCCAGCAAAACTCTGATTACACCTGGTAGGTTTTGTAGAGAAGTTTTGTTTTTTTTTCTTTTTTCTGTGGTGTCTTAAACCTAAGCTATACACAAAGGCTAATTGGATTATATTATGTAAAACGTGGGTATTTGGTCACATAACCAGCTACCTTTTTTACATGACTAGCTTCAGAGAGATTTTTGCTTTATTGTGGCTCTATCACAGAAATAATGTAAACATTGAATTTTAGTTCATATTGCCACGGGTTGTTTTAGTGGATTCATTTTCTGTCTCGATATGTGTCTTTGAATATAATGATACTGATCAATTTCCTGTTTTCCTGGTTAAAGCATATTTTTTTCATTAGCAAAAAATGTTGTAATGTCTTCTCCAACCCTTGCAAATAAGTAAATGCTATTAATGGACCTTGCATATAGCGTGGTCCCCTTCTCCACTGCCCAGCCTCATGCTGCATCAGGCACTGTTCACAGCCTGCCTTAAGCTGGCTATCTCTGCTGTGCTGGTAAGATTTAGGGTTAGTTCACACCATAAGCAGTGCATTCCGATCCGATTCTAGCCGGAACGCACTGCCTCGTATTGCGGCCGGCTCACTTTTTTGCCGAGCTGGAGGGGGCGTGGCGGGCCATTGAAGTGAATGGTGCCATCGCCCGCACGGGATTGCAAGGCACATTGCACCGCACTGCAGGCACAATATATATATATCTCTCTCTTTCTGAAAAAGAAAGAGAGAGAGATTTTTTTTGTTTGGAGGGGGCCAGATGGACATCCGACTTTCTTGTTCCATTTTCTTGGTGGCACCTGACAGACTGTCATTTACGCTCATTTGCACCGGACCGCACTGCAGGCACAATGTGCCTTGCGATCCCCTGCGGACGATCACATTGCGGCCGGAGGACGCATCTACGGTGCCATTTACTTGAATGGCCTGCCACCCCCCCTCCAGGAAGGAAAAAAAGTGAGCCGGCCGCAATGCGAGTCAGTGCCTTCCAGTCCCATTCTGGCCAGAACGCCATCACCTGTGCAAGGTGTGCGGCTGAGCTGGTGACCTTCTTTTGCAAAGAACTATTGTTGGTCATTCATTGAGTTAAGGTGATGTTAAGGCCCAGGACTTGCTCTTGCTTCTGCCTCTAACCTCAACCAGGACATTGTTTCTCCCGTCCTTTTTGTTTGCCTGGTGCATCAAAAGAAACCATTTCCTCAATTGTCTGGATGTGGTTTGGGCGAGTCCATCTTTCAGCC